GAATTGCCCTGTTGTTTATCTTAAACGTGTTGACTTGACGGTTTTCCCTTTCTCGCTGTGTTTATGCTGATTTTGGCTCTCCTTTTTCGCGCGTGTGGCTTGCCATTTTACGGCCCGAAACCAGGTGATCCGAACCGATCGAAATTTTCTCGTATTTCCATGCTTTTCAAATGGTTCTTCTCTAAAAACGACAACAGTCCGAGTCATGACTCTGATTCAAACTGATAGACCAACAGATCACCACCTTATTTACGTGATTTTTTCGATTTTCCTGAGGAATTATTTGCTTTACTTTCTGGGTTGGAAAATCGAATGCGACTTCTTTTACCTAATTTCGGCTTCATCTCACTTTTAAACAATTTTCAACTCGTTGAACCAGCCTGTATTTTCAATTTTTGGCCTGCTCCCCTGTTTCTCGTGAATCATAAATGCAAATCCCCGCATGTCTCATCGGGATTTGAATCCCATTTTTTGTTGTTTCGCCCGCTCCGAATTCGGCTGGCTCCCGTTCGACTCCCTTTCGCCGCGTCCAAAATGTCAGTGTTTGGCGGGGGCCCTGGAAGGGGATGATTCACTTTCGGCACATCTGGTCCTCGTCCTCAACGGCTTTTTGTCCGTGAAATTGGGCCTGGGGATCGTTTAGGGGGTTTTGGGGTGGGGCGTTGACTTTTGGGTTTTTGAACTCGTGTTTGGTGTGCTTTTGTGGAGTTAGTAGGTAGTAATTATTCCCGAGGGTCTAAAGGGGTCACATGAAGTTTTGTGCTGTTTTTGCTTAAATACTCAATCGTACGGTTGGAAAAGGGGAGCGTAATTAGGGGCGAAGAGTTCAAGAAATTTAAGGAAGGGAAAATAAACGTCTGGAAAGGGTTTCTGTCAGACCCTGGATCTCGAAAATTTTATTTTCAGTTCCAGTCCCTGTTTCTCGATTTCACAAGGTTTTTCGAGAGTATCTTAGAGTCTTACCGTAACCAGATTTGCTTTAAACGACTCTGTATACCTCTCAGAAAACTATATTCTGCCTTTCCAGGCTCTTCAAATAACCTGTCTAGGCTTCTCGCCCTCGAGAATCCCTACCGGAAACAATTTCCCCCACCCCCACACAATGCACTGTAAATCCCTAATTTGCATCCCCAAAAGCATCCGCCTTTTTCCGAGGGTATTCCGTTTTGGGAGCCAAATACCAGCGACTGTGAATGGGGGAAATTGGGTGCGCAGCACTTTCTTGACTTTCCATTTTTCCCGGGTTGGTGCGCGTGGGGGCGCCGATGGCAATTGAGACAGCAGAAAACTAGCTGCCCGGCCTGGGTGGCACATACACACAATGACGCATTTACTTTCTGCCCTAGCTGGGGGCAATTGGGCAACTTTCCGGGCAGTGTTTTTGCGTTTTGAATTTTGTTAATATAGGCCAATTAGCTCGTTAAAAAGGCTCTAAGCTAAGCCTAGGCCAAAGTCCCGGCTTAAGCTGAAGCCTCAGCCTCAGCCTAAACTTAATCGAAGCCTAAGCCTAAGCTTAAGCCTAAGCCTAAGCTCAAACTTAAACACAAGCCTAAGTCTCGGCTTAAGCTGAAGCCGTGGTTCAAGCCCCAAATGTCTCTTGACGCTTTTCGCATTTGTCAAGGCCTAGTCAATTGCAGGGTAGATTATTCAACTTCTCAATCCCTTTAAAAATTTAGGTATTTTCACAAATCCTGTAAAGCCAACCGCTTCGACAGCACCGATCAAAATTATTTATTCACGACCCAGCCCTCGGAATGGCCTTCGCCAAAAACCTCGTTTATTCCGCGCGTCAAGTGGGCCTCCGCGGTTTGAGCAGAATGCAATGCGGATCCTGACCGGCTGGCAGAAAAATATTCGCCAAGGTCAGCTGGGGCTCGCAGGGCTGGCGGAGATGCTCCCCCTGTTTTGTTATTGACACGCTGCGTGCAGGTTGTCAAATGGAATCCGGGTCGGCAGGCACTTCCATTATTACAGTAGGAAAATGCCGCGATTTTTTCCTGATTTTTGACCGCGCTTTTGGCCGTCCATACCCGGTTTTATTTTATGAAAATTAATGATTTTATAGGCATTTATAAAAATTTTTTTCTCCGTTGAGACCACCGAAAAATTTTTTGTAAATTAGAAATTTTTCTTCAGATATCTGAATTTTTTTAATTTTGTGTAGATTTCTTAGTCTATCCTATGCTTGATTTCATTTGTTATGCATCCGGCCTCTCCCGACTCAACCCAACCTCACTAATCATTTAGTTATTTTTGCCAACTGAGAAAATGGCCAATACCGCGCAAGAAAAGATAGCTTTTCCTATAAAAATTCGTGATGATCCGCTTGACTGGATTTTTTTACGAAATTTCTCAACAATATCCACTCCTTTCATACTGTACGTTCGTAAAAACGGCTAGTCATCAATCCTGAACAGCTGGATGGCGTGCGTAGCCAAATATTAGCCGTTTTTCCGGGGAAGGAAGTGCCCATATAAAATTGCGCACTCGTGCTTTTCCTTCCCTGCCCCACCCCGGCGTAGACGTATTTTATAGATGGCACCGTGTGCACGGCTTGCCCCATAATTGTCGCCGGCGGGCATCCTTGCTCGAGATTTTTTGGAGGTATTAATACGAAGCGGGGGCGCTTTTTTGCCGTTTCGAATTGTCGAAACGTTGCCTTCATAGGCAATTTGCCAGATCTACTCACATTTTTCGGTTTTTACAATTTACTCTGTGTGACTCTGAATGACTTATCAAAAATTTCTACGCCAAAAATCAAGGCCCCAGTGGATTCTGTTACTCCCTCGATCACATGTTCATCGTTTGGGCCTGGCTCTCATGCCTTGTCCCCCTCCCTGCGGGCTCATTTCTTTGGCCGTATATCTGTTTGCCGACATCCATCTGTAAACCACGGGGCCTCCAACAGTCCTCTTCTTGCAAAACATACATACAGCTGGTATTTAGACGCGATTTTAAAGGGACTGGGACGTATCTCTCTCTCTCACTCTCTCTATCTCTCTCGCTCTATTTCCCTCGTTTTTGCATACCTAGTAATTTCCAACATGTGCGTGTGCCCAGCGTAGGCGCTACAAAAAATAACCTGAGCCGAACAACTCATAAATTTGAGTGTCTCGGGGCACTGGGTCATGGGTGCGTACGCGTGTGTAAATAGGCTTTTCTCAGGTAGACAAGTCATTTTTACTACTGACAATCCTAAAGTATCTTTCCTAGTTGGCTTCCACTCAAAAATAATACCGATAGCACCAATCTCTCGAGTATTTCATAAGACCCGCCCGGGTCTCGGGCTAGTCCCAGGTCGCCCAGTAGGTCCCACCAGCGTGACTATGAAATCCAGCGTGATGCCCTTGGATATATGCGTTGGTCGCTGGGTAGTGGATCCCACCCCCTTCGGATCTTCTTCATCCCCCCCCCCCCGCCCGCACAACCCTTGGATTCCGACCGGCTCCTATTTGCAAGGGGCACACGCGCCTCGCGCACCCATCCACACAATCCCATCCCTTGAGCCCTTGCGAGATTATCGCACCCCCACCAGCACCACCATCGTAGTCTCTTGTAATGAGTCAGCCGGTTGCTCATGATTATTTTGAGGCTTGATTATTGATCCCGAGGTCGTGATATCTAAGGATGAGTTGAGCCTAAAGCTCAGCTTAAGCCTAAGGCTAAGCCTAAGCCAAAGCCCAAGCCTAAGTCTAAGGCTGTGCCTGAGTCTAAGGCTAAGCCTGAGTCTTCGCGCAAGCCCAAGCCCAAGCCCAAGCCTAAGCTTAGGCCTAAGCCCAAGCCTAAGCCTAAGGCTAACTAAGCCTAAACCAAGCCGAATTGTAAGCCTGACTAGGGAAGTGCAAATAAAAACCCAGCAAACCGCTTAGCAAAAATATGGGTCTGATAGAGTCGGCGACGAGGATTCCGAAACTGCAATCAGAATTTGCTTAACGCTTAATACAAAAAAGTTATGAGCATTTTAAGTTTTGCATTAGATGGTCCGCCCTCCCTTATGAGCCCCTCCCAAAGATGGGTGTCCGCCTGTCGAGTGGTGTAGTGGCTAACTAGCATGCCTCTTGGGCGGAGGGTCTCTGGTTCGAATCCCCGGTCATGCATAATTTTCTGCTTTTTGGTCAAAGTCAACAACTTTAAACTTTTTCAAAGTTTCAAAGTCGAAAAGGTCGTTCTCTTAATTTTTCAATTCATGAAACCAGGGCAAATTCATGGCAAAGTGGTGGCGGGAGTGCCAGGACTCTTGCGGATAGGGCACTAAAAAATTCACTGCTATTTTTTCGTAAGGCAGACCTACACGCAGTCAATAATAAAGAAAATTTAAAAAAATATAAATTTCGTGCTTCGAAACTTGGAAAAAGATTAAAGTTGTTGACTTTGACCAAAACGCAAACAGTTTTGCATGACCGGGGATTCGAACCAGAGACCCTCCGCCCCAGAGGCATGCTAGTTAGCCAGTACACCAGCCGACAGGCGGACACCCATCTTTGGGAGGGGCTCATAAGGGTGAGCAGACAATCAAGTGCAAAACTTAAAATGCTCATAACTATTTTGTATTAAGCGTTTAGCAAATTCTGATTGCAGTTTCGGAATCCCCGTCGCCGTCTCTATCAGACCCATATTTTTGCTAAGCGGTTTGCTGGGTTTTTTATTTGCACTTCCCTAGTGAGTCTATTTTTGAAATGCGAGGAAGCAGACCTTTTCACTACCTCATATTTTGTTTACGGCTCCTCCCACCCATTTTTTGCCCGTTCACCACGCCTGGGATTTGGGTCAGTGAAACTGATCGGATTACAGCGATCGCCAGACGATGTGGTGAACGCAAAAATCCTTGGGTTATGATCTTTATCGAAATTCATGTGGTGTCACGTGTCGCTCTCGCTCTTACTCCTTCCAACTCTCTCTCTCTGTCTCTCTCTGTCTCTCTCTCTGTCTCTCTCGCTCTCTCCTCTCGTTTTCTCTTACTCGAGTCTTGTATATAGCTTTTATGATCTTCACCATTCCAGATGCCCATCCTCAGTTCGACAAGCCAATTCTTCACGTTGCCGTTTCGGAGAAAGAAGCAAAGGTGGGACAAACGAATTCTAAATTTAATTAAATTGCGTTGCTAAAGCCGTTACAAATCTACATAATCAACCGATTAATTAGTATACGAATTTTTAAGGTACACCATCAACCCGCCCGATGAGCAATACAATGTCATCTACCTCGGAAACGTTCTGACAGTGATGGCAAAGGGTGATAACTGCGTGGAGAAGCCTTTGAGTCTCATCTGGAGGGCCTATTGCCAACGGCAACGTACCGATCTGCATATGCAGCTTGAGGTGAGTAATCTTTTTGGTATATCCGAACTGATCTCTCTCTTTCTCTCTCTCTATCCCCTCTCTCTCTCTCTCTCTTTCTTAAAGTGTATCCTCAAGTCCCGGATTTCCTAATCTCGACGCACGTAAGACACTCAAGATGATCCACTTCCCCACCCATTCAATCGTCCCTAATTAGCATAAGATGCGCAATGATAGGTCTGCGATCTCTTTCCCTCTTTTGCTCTCTTTTCCCCCTCTCTTTCTCTCTCTTTAGCTCTGTCTCTCGCCTTTCAAAATCTTCACCCGCGATCTTTGCCTGTATAGATGACCCGGATAGGCCACAGACCCCCTAGTTGGTGTTTACAGCCCAGGGCACACGCACACCGAAATTATCTGATGTTCAGTGTTGAGTGAAAGGACCTAAATTTTGATGTCTAAGGATGATTGAGTACTGGGAAATAGTCAGTATAATACCAAGATAGCCATCATATTTTTCAGATCACCCGCTCGGGGCTGAAAGCCGAGACCTCACAACAGGGGTTGACGGAATATTGGGCTCACCGGATAACGCACTGTTCCGCCCCGGCAGAGTACCCGAAGGTGTTCTGCTGGATTTATAAGCATGATGGAAAGAGGTGTGTCTAGAATTTGAATTTGAAATGATATACCAGCAAAATAATATAAACTAATCTCCCGATATAAATTTTCCAGCAAGCAATACATCCGATTTTTGCTAAATTTGCTAACCAAACCTGCCTTTTTTGATTAGCTAGATGAATTGTTCTTCCAAGGTTTGTTAAATCAAAATTGTTAAGTCTAAAGTAGGTTTAATAATGCTATTAAATTGCCAGATAAATTTAATACTTTTCAGGCTCAAACCCGAACTCCGCTGCCACGCTGTCCTCTGCAAAAAAGCCGCCGAACCCGCCCTGATCTCAATGCGCTTGAATGAATTTTTAAAGGCTGCTCTCGAGGTTAGCGGTAACATTTCAAATTTATAGCCTTGAAAGTTTTACTAAAATGCCCCAAATATTCGGGGTAATCCGTTGTGAAAAATTTCGTAATGCTCATGCTCATGCTCACCAAAAATCTCCGCGCCTTCATTTCTCGGATCGATCACCACCCCACTTTATTGCCGATTTCCTTGCGCACACACTGCCCGACCCCTCTAGAGACGCCGGAGATTTATTAGTTTTCCATTTTTAGGCGGCTATTAAGATGGGTGGTTATTGAGATGGTTATTGAGATGAAAGCGCGGATTGGGGTTTTTTGAAAACCACTAGATTCGGGGAATTTTAGCAAAATTTACTATTTTTTGCTTTTTTTTCCGGCGATACATTGTATTCTAGACATGTCCCGGTCTAAAGAACACATTTTTGGCATCGCCCCAAGGACGAAACAGCCAATTCTTGAAGGGTGCTTGAATCCTAGAGAGCCGCTATTCCTCAGCCTGGATTTTTTTGGGAATTGAATGGGTGCATATCTTTCCGGGGTTAGGATTTGGCATTCAGCCAAGAGAATAGTGGAGGCAGAGAGTGATTTATGAGGATTTTTGGACTCAGAAATTAGTTGTGGCTGGTAAACGCTAGCCGGGATTATGCCTAAGCCTAAACCTAAGCCTAAATCCAAGCCTAAGCCCAAAACCAAGCGTAAACTGAAGCCTAAGCAGAAGCCTGCTTCAATACTTTTCGGAAAATCTATAAATCAGCCGGCACGAAGCCAAATAGCTCAAACAAAAAAAACGCTGCAAAATTGTGTACAAACACGGTGAAGAGTCGTTGTTTGCGAGCGCGACTACACGAGAGGCCATTGAACACACACTAAAGGGACAGAGAAGTAGCGGAATGTAGCGGAGCGTTGGTGCACAGAAGGGACCCACGGGTCTATTGTAATAGTTTTTGAATGATGCTGTCGAAGCGCGGCGACTTAGCACCGTTTTTCTAGACCCGGAAGAGCTGTACAAATTTGAAAAATAGTGAAAATCTCTTTTCTACTGCGGTTTTTCCAGGAATACAAACGTGAGAAGCTCGCCCAACAAAACGCCCGCCTGAGCTCGTCGACCGGGTGCCCCAGGCGGAAGCTGATGCTCCAGACGGGTTCGCTCAACTTCCGCCCGCCCGTCTCGCGCTCCAAGTCGGCCCCTCGACTTGGGAGCATTGATGAGGAGATTGAGGTTTGTAGCCTGCAAGCTCTGCACTCGATTTGTCATCCCAAAATTCCAAGAAATCCGCCAAAACACTCTCTTTTTGCACGACGCCCACACAATATACCCAAGAGCCGGACGCGCAAAAATTCGGGTCGAAAATGACGGAAGTGATTGATTAGTGGGGACGGGGGCGGGAATTCTTTTCCGTTCAACTTTTTCGGGTGGGGAGATGAGACATTTGGTACTTCCGGGCAATGTTTGGTCATAGGGCAGGATCACGCTAACTGTCAGACCGAGGATTGATAGTGTTTTTGAAGGGGCATCAGGTGTTCGCCAGTATCGCGATGACGGAAATTCAGGAAATACGGAATCGGAATGGAAAAATTTGCACTTTGGAAGCCGGGGTTTTCGGCGCAGAAGACAAACCTTGCTTTTAATATACCTTGCCTATCTTACATACCTTACCCACGTCCAAGCTTATGATTAGGCTTACCTCTAAGCACAAGCCTAAGCTAAGACTAAGCCTAAACCTGATCCTATCTTCTTGTTTGAAACATCAGAGATCCAATCGAAACTTCCCATTTTCATGATATCAGGAAGAGGACCAATCCGACAACGAGTCGTTCTGCTACCGCGAGGAACCGATCGGGGATACGGCATCGTATTCCGGTTCCGACGTGTCGCCCGGCAGCTCCGCTTCATCCTCGAAAGGCGCCTCGTCCCTCTGCTCAAGCGACGAGCGCCCGAGGCGGGGGAGGCTAGACCCGGATTCGGGTGAGTAACTATGTCCTAGAAGCGGATTTAGAGCTCCTGAAGCTTAAGGAGCTCGCTTAAAAATCAAGATGCTTTTTTGTCAAAAACGCGACTTTTTAGTCTCTGACGAATCGGGGTATCACGAGGATGGGCAGAGGCGAGATGAGCTGTTCTATTCGGACGAGGAGCTGGTGATTATTGAGGAGCAGGACCTAGATGAGGTGAGACAATGGAAACTCTCAGCATCGTAGGCTTGTCACTATAGCTTTCAAATGTCTAAAATCCTTCTAAATAAAATCATATGCAAATTCCTCCTTTCAGGACACAATGAAAAAGCCTCAGCGTTTCCAGCACCAACGAGCAATTGAGCATGAGCTCCAGGATGACGGCGAAGTAACATCCCTTTAAAGGCATCACCTGAGCTTGCTCTATCGGGTTTAATCCCCCTTAATCTTCCTTTCAGTTGGCCTCTCTAGTCCCCTGGAAAATATTTAAAGGTAAAGGAACGCTGAAGGCTGTATTTAAGAAATTCTATAGTTTGTGATCTATAAAATTGCCAAGGTTTGTAGATTCGACTTCAGCGCCCCTTTAGACCCAAAAACCTCGATTCTCCACCCTCTTACCCATTGCTCAATTCCGGCTTTTCCCCTTACTACAGCGGAAACCGTTCATATTTTGGCAAGCTGCCAGCCATCATTCCTAATATTTTTTGTGTCGCAATTTGTCTGAATATTTTTGTGTACAAAACCCAATAGTGCATTGCCTAGCGTGCTGCTGTCTCCTCTGGCGCTCCACCCTATACTTGTATCTTTTCGGAATTAATAAATGATTTATACATCTACAGTTAGAGGGGCGTGTCTTTTGTCAGGACACCCTGCATATTCTGCGCCGTTTTTACATGCGTATCATCAATAACAATCGGAAAAAGCTTTATTATTTTCCGGACGACATTCCGGGATACAAAAACTGGAGGGCCGAATTCCGGATCGAGAGAGCAGTCGTCATTCGGGGCCGAGTAGTCGTTGAGGTCGATTCTCCGGCTAGTGCCTCTTCACCTTGTGGCGTCTTAATACCCTCTTGCGCGCCTGGTACAACTTTTGCAAGCCGTGGCGATCCGAAAACTTGGCCGCGCTAAACCCATGCGTGCGCCTAGAAATGTTTGAAAACCCAACAGATCTTTCGCACCTTTTCCGATCCTTTTCGTTTTCCTTTTATTCCTTCTCGATTTGTTGTAGCTCTTTGAAGGGAGATAGAACCGTGGCATGGTACTCTCTATTTGGGTTCGCAGGCCTAACAAAAGCAGTATGTGGAAATCGAATTATTACATCGGCGAATCACTGGGCTTTGGCTGGTCTGGAATGCCACCTTCGCGCGTGGACCAGCGACATTTTCTGCTGGCAAAGTCTTTTCTTGTCGCCACACACGACACTTCTTCGCGAAGTTCATCGGCGAATTCACCTAAAAACGTTTGATTTGTTGTTTGAAATTGTCTCACCGGATACTTGTAGGCGCGGGCAAATTCGATCGAGTTTTTCATCATCTGAAAAAAAAATCGATTGATTACCCGAAAAATGGTTTCAACCTCATTGACGCGAAAAACGCCGGGCGGGTGCACCTTTTCGAGGGCGATTGTGAGACGTGGATCGCTGACTTCGCCGCACCAGAGCTAAGGACAACGTAGGGTTTATTGGTAGGAGGTGAAATACAATGGCGGCAGCGATGAAGTAGAGCTGATCAGGGGCATAGCTTTCTAGGCCGGGTAATCTTTTTTCGTGTTTGCCGTATTTGCGCTGGCGCTCCTTGCGGTAGGCCTGAAAATGGGTTTGTCTGTATGTCTAATTTCAGACAAACCATTTACAGGTTTCAAAAAATTCTCTCTCTCTCTCTCGCCCTCTCTTTCTGACATCGACCTGAAGCTCCTGCCCTAAAACTTGACCTCAACCCGATATTGTCCGCCACGGCTTCACCATGCGTCGACGTGCCCGGTTGCTAGAATCACCCAATATTATATTTTCCCGAAAACCGACGCTAAACTCATGCTCTAAAGTCCCCATCGGTAGTTCCTTCCACTTGGGTACTTCTTGTGCTTTCGTCGCCTAGCTTCAAATCGATCCCAGTTGTGCCCGAAATCCCCCCTGTTCATCGGGTCAGCTGTCGGTCGCAACGTCGGCCATTTCGATCCGGCCTAACCTCATGCCCCGAGGGTCGTACGAGTGCATTTGAGTGTTTTCGCTATCTAGGAACAAGCGAATTCCATGTATTATAATTTTCTGATTATTTTCTTCCTGGTTACCTGCTCCTTACTAGCTTTTTGCACGCGGTTCGACAATTTCCTGAAACGCTGGTATATTGTGCCGAAATCCGCCTCGAAAATTTCAATATGCACAGGAAGCTCTGTCTCGGTTTCCCGGTATCTCTGACTCTCTCTCTCTCTCTCTCTCTCTCCCTTTCTCTCTCTCCCACTTTCTCTGGCTGTCGCGGCCTAACTTTTGGCTCGCGTGCATTGCAGCAAACATTAAAATCGAGCGAATCTATGCCTTTTTAGTGTTGGTTTTCGCCCAAGTCCGGGGACTTTTTCGGGCTTTTGCCACCCGAAAAAGTCCACAGACTTTGGACTAAAAACCAACACTAATGCGTTTCCAGTCTCGCCAAGTCATGGCATGGCGAGTGCTCTATGCGCTCGGGTTGTTACTAAGTGCGATAGATGGCACAGCATTCACGCAGTATTATGGAGGTCTGTTTCGTCTAACGGATAAAGGCGCAAATTTTAGCGAAAACTGTCATCTCATCAAAATCCGTTTCCAGTTAACCTTGTCCCGTTCGGGCCGGACGCTGGCGACATGCGCGTGAAAGATGAGCTGCTGAACGCAGGGCAGAGAATTGACTTGCCCCTGCCTTTCCCGTTTTATGGTGGACTGTACAATTACACGACGGTATCAAATTTTGAATGTGCCTAGATCTGAATAAAAACTGCCTGAAGGGGATGTTCTGGTTTCAGATCTCAGTGAATGGATATGTCAGCTTCGGCCTCGTCTTAGATCACGGGCTCGGGATCGACGTGGGTCAAATGGATACCGATTGGCCAAAATACCCCGACGCGGCCATGATTGGGCCCTACATCTGCAAGCAGCAGGTTGGTACTTACAATACTTGGTGATTTGGGCCTGCCGGTCTAAAAGTGGTTCGCGAAACTTTTGTGGCGGTGCTTTTGCGATATGGCTTTTGCGGCGCAACTTTAACTATATTTAAGCCGGTTGCTCCGAAAGATTTTATGCTGATGCTATTCATCCAATCCGACAGATCTCCAACCACCTTCCGGGACTGAAGGGAGGGGTCTTCTACCGTCTCCTTCTCCGTCAATCACTCTTCCGTAACGAATCCGACGCGAATGCAGTTTTCAACGGCAGTTCCGAATTCTTCCAAAAATCGCGTCTAACGGTATTTCCAACCCAAATCGACGGTATCTACTCCCCCACCGTCTAGGCTTGCCCGGAAACCCCGAATCACTATGTAAGGTGCAATAAGCGAACAGATGACCAGCTGGACGAGCTGATGGGATGGTTGCAGGGTCAGTTGAGAGCTGTTTACTGAGTTTAGGCTTGGGCTCAGGCTTGGGCTTAGGCTGCATCCTCAGTCAGAAAACCCTCGGCTTCAGAGGGAGTCGCGGGAGCGCAAATGTTCCGCGCCGACGCGGCCTTGGTGGTCACGTGGTTCAACACGGCTTCCGCATTCGCGACCCGATCCGATGTCGACGTCGGCCAATTGTCTACCTATCAGATGATCTGGCTCACCGATATGGTAAGTTGTTGGCTTAGGGTTCAATCTCCTCGCTCGCGAATTTGCGATCCCAAAAGTCTCCGACTAAGAACTAAAATCTAGAAATATTTTCCGATTGCTTCGACCTCCGAGAGCTATCGTACCCATGAGAAAGTTTTAGCATGCCCGCCTCTCATATGTCATACTCAACTACAATAAGCTGGGATTCGATGTGATCGACATCCGCCGGAATTCGAGGCGTGGAAGGTGTAAGGTTAGGCTAATTTGTGCCCAACCCAGCCCCCACTGTTAGAATAAGCACAACCAAGGTTGAAAAGCCGCTTCGCGACTTTTCAACCCTGGCCCCGTCTTGGACCGCATGCTGTTCTACGCTTTGCATAATTGCGCTAAATTCAGATGACAAAAATGAAAATATTCGCTTGAGACCCTTTATATAGACGACTCCCCACTTCCGGTCAATGCTAATTTTTCCTAGCGAAGAGGGTTTTACAAAAACTTTAATTTAATTTGGAAAATGGCTGATTTTCATAAATCTGATATGTGGGCAGGCATCCCTGGACCATTACGCACCTAATGACATACCATGTTCACCCCTAACTTCTTCCCCTATGGGGAGACTACTGGAGCAACGATACGGAAGTGTATGCAAAGTGCCACACACACACACACTAACATTATTTTATGTATAGTAGGATCTTTGCAGGCGCTCTTCAACGGCGGTAACCATACGGGAACTGTGCCCGTAGATCCCACGGCAGCCTACAAGAACAGCCCGAAGTCGTTGGCGGCACGGTCTGGAGTGCCACATCTTGCTCGAGGAAGGTCCGCTGTCACTCTTTCTAACGCTCTCTCTCTCTATCTGTCGCACTCTATCTCTAGCTCCCTCATCTCCCTCCGTCTCTCACACCATCTCTCTCACTCTCTGATTCTCTCGCACCCGCTCTCTCGCTCTCTCTCACCTCTCTCGGTCTCTATTTTTTTGGTTTCTAATCACCAGCTTCCAGGTACATGTTCCGCGTTGATGACGTCGTACGCGCCGGCGGTTGCTCCAACAAAACTGGGGGAACTTGTAAATTTATGCGATTTAGAGGCGACAATCTGTTTCCATTCAGTCCCGATGCTAATCCACCCGAATATCGTAAGCATATTTGGCGAGACAACGGTTGATGTAAATGCCATGTGCCTTGATCGCGCCCAGGACTACATTCTGGTAACGGACCAAGGAGAGGTGCAGTCGGGAGGAAACACCAAAAACCCAGATTTTAGAATGCGACTTGTATGGTACTGAACCCGTCGATAGCTAGGTGTTCATTTGCTAACGTGTCCGACTGGGGCATGCGTACTGTATACTTCTATCCCAGACGCGGGAATCCGGATTACGAGGGGAATTTTGTTGGGCATATTTATTTTGGTAAATATTTATTGGCGATTGTTATCGTGATATTGAGCTTGATAAACGCGCAATTACAGGGTGGCGATTAATTACCTGCGCGTCGCTTTTTCCCCCAAAAATCAGGCTTTAAATTTTCTTGGAGAGAGTGGTTTTACTAGATTGGTGGTTGTTTAGTCGCATCCTATCCAAATTTTAACCGGGTTAAACAATCACGAAAAACTACGAGCTAAGAAACATAAATTCCGGCTTCACAACGCGGATCGTGATCGCATGGTCACACTTTTGAAGCCTACCGTAGCCAAGGGCGGTAGCTAATCTTTTCTAAAACAGCTCAGATATGTTGCACGCTTCTTTTCAGACGTAGTGAGCGCTCGAAAACCGACCTAAGTCAAAAGATAAAAAAAAGATACTGTATCGAGAACAACATCGGTCAAATGGAAATAAAAACCGCGCGTCCTTTCGATATTACGCGTGAATCTATCGGTACGATATGAGAAAATATGTACAATCCTTACAACAACCATATGCCAAAAGTTCTTGGGTTCATAAGGCTTTATCAGGAAGCTAGAATCCAGAAATGCTAGAAATTACTGACGATTTTTGAGGTGCGCCGCGGGCTGAAATGATGGCATCATTTTTGGCCCAGAACTTCCCCAAAATTCTTCAGAACCGGCCTCAATTTAACAATGCGTCCTATCAAACCAATAAGAAGAGGGCTACATCAACGAAATTGCACTTCCCCGAAAAATCTTTTTATTTTTGAGGTGTCTCATTCTGGCCGATTCGGCTGCAGGCGGAGATTGGTCGTAGAATTTTTGTTATTTGGTAGAGCTAGGGCTCAATAAAAATGCTTTTAATGGATTTGAGCATCTGGAGGGTAATCGGAGGCATCGAACTAACAATAATTTGAGGGCACTACCTATCAAACTGAAAAAATATCGGGGCTTTTGATCGGTACATACCCGCGGCGCGCGCGCTTGTTTGCTCGACGACATTTTTCGGGCTGAAAAAAAGTTGAGGGCCACTGACCCAAATTTTTTCTGTACAATAAGTATTAGATAGCTTGTGCTATCATAAAATGCAGATGGATCAGAGATTGCTTAAAGGAAAATTCGGAGCGAGCGTTTTCTCTCGCGCAGGTAATTAATCGCCACCCTGTAGATTGTAATTTTTTGCATAGTATGAAGGTCATTTTCGTTAAAAGTCGCTTATGCAAAATGTCGACAATCATGGGTTTCGACGTTGTAAATTGCGAAATTGTAAAATTCGGACATGGAATTTCGACGAGATCAAGTTTTGACAGCATGAATTTCGACGTTGTCGTTTCGAAATTATCAAATTTCGACAGTGATTCGATAATAGGAATCTCCAAAATATAGAATTTCGGCATTATAGATTTCGACCTTAACAAATTTCGATCTCACTTCGCGCCCTTTCAGTCCCTCCTACCCTCGACCCTCAACGCCTTCAAATCGGCAATATTTACGATTGGTTCAAAAACCCTCTTCCAAGCGACGTGATGCCCATCTCATGGTAGATTACGGACAGCTTTCTCAAACCCTAAATAAATCCCTAGGTATCCACGTAATTTCACAAATCCCGATTTCAACTTTCGATTCGACACGGGGCTTGGCCGAATCAGGTATACCCTTAATTTAATACTAGTGGCCTTCCAGTGACGAGGCGCTGTATTCAGTACAACTCTGCTTGTATGTGATTGGGTATAAGGAATTTCGGGATGATGAGGTGGTCACCGAGTTTCTATGAGTTGACTTTCCCGAAATCAGGGCAAGAAACGCCAGCCTGAGCATCGAATTATTGCGCGGCTTGGCTCGTATACAAATCGGAATGAGAATGACTACAGGTGGAGGCTACAAGAAGAGCGCATCAATCTCAACCAGGTGAGCTTTCTCCCTCTACCCCTCGCTCTCTCTTGCTCTGCTACTTTTCTTATTGCATTTTCTTCAGATCGAGCAGTGGTATATGACCGATTTGGAAAGAAAAAACGAGCTGTTTGCCTACCGCATTGGCTACCTAAAACTTGCCCCGATAATGAACGACGATCAGCAGCCCCCAAAACAACTTCCGGCCGGGTAAACGTCAGATCTATTCTTCCAAGCTTGATTATCTACCGCCTATTAATGCGCCGTTCATTCCAGCCTCGTCTCACACCCAATTCCCCTCCACTGGCTATGGAGGGAGGACCAGCAGTTCCTGCTCTTCCCCGGAGCCGAGCACGAGAAGGCAAGAGCCGAGTTTGTGAAGCAAAAGGCAGCGGAAATGTGTGATAGTTGGTCAGTGTTAAAAACCCGTAGACCGTATGCAAAGAAAGGGAGAGAGAGCTGGCGAGAGAGAGTGAGAGGGAGACTGAGAGAAAGAGCTAGGGAGAGAGAGGAAGAGAGAGTTGTAGAGCGAGAGAGAGAGAGATGAGTGAGAGAGAGGACACCTATTTTTAGGATCCACTGAGTGGTTCCGCTTCACAGTCATTGCGCTGAATCATAAGCTTTAGGTATGAGGAGGAAGCGGTCCAGGCCAACTTCACCGCCGACACTGAGAAAAAGTACGAACCATGCCCTTGCGTAGAGAGACAGGCGATGGCCGATCTGGGACGATTTATGCCCCATCCTCGATGCTCAAAGGTTCAGTTGAGAAAGTGTCGTCCTAGCCTTAACTTCTTGCAGTCGCATCTCAAATATCCGCAACCAATAATTTCAGATGTTCGGTGACAGCACCTGCACCCAGCCGATCGGTGCCGGCAACTGCTACATATCTACGCAAAGTTACGGGTCGTACGCCGGGTTGGGAAACGACGAAAACTCAAAGATCGCTGGGTTTGTTATTTGAGTTTTCAGACCATGTGATAGGACGATGAAATTCAAGGTTACTTCAGCAAAAATTCAACCTTTAGTCAAATCGCTGGCGAATCGGGGCAAATGTGCTGCTATGATGTTGATGGGCATCTGCTGCAAGTGAACTATCAACCTACGATAAATGTACGGTAGAACCTTCTACAGTTCCCTGAACGATTCCTTGAACCTTCAGGGGACATCGGAAGTTCGCCACAATTCGTTCCCGGGCCTTTCCACTTTGAACAACGACTACATGCCGAATTTCCTGTGCTGCAAGCTTGCTGATTTTCGATGCCACAAGTTCTTCGAACGACGCCCGTCCAGTGAATGCCGAGGTTATAGGGAGGCGTCATACGGTACCCGCAACACATCGTCAAAATAACAAACACCCGCTGTAGGCGAGGCAATCGGTGCCGGGGTCTTCAACACCATCGACAACGACAAGTTTGTATTCAACGAACCGGGCGTGTTTACCCTACTCTACATCCCGAAGGCCTCGACGACGCCGGAGGTGAGGATCCAGGCCCGGCTCGAAAGGTTCCCGAATCGGAGGGTCGACTTCAGTGAGTTCAACCACCTTATAAATTCCGTGTTTTTAGCGCAAATTGGGCGAAGGTTAGGTCACGCAGATCTTGTGCAACCATCGAAAGCCACCGTAATCACAGGCATTGCTATTGAGGCAACCGACAGTGCTCGGTTGGTGGTTAAATACGCTTAATAGGCTTGGCTTGCAGCGTCCACGTCCTTTGCCGAAAAGACACCCGCCGTTTCCGCTACCGCACCAGCGTAATTGTTGGCAATGTCATGCGCTACTTTGACACGATGGCCATCCTGCGATTCAAGGGTTTGTTTTAGAGCGGATGCAAAATCTCTCGCGCACAATTCCGTATTTTAGCGTAATAAGCGCCTCAAATCCACATCTTAGGCGTGCTCATCTACGTCAACAAGACAAGCCAAGGTCAGGCCGAGATCTACGTCGTTCTCGAGCGGGCCCAGATTGGCATCCGGATACGGTAGTTTGTGGAAATGTTTGGAGCAATCGGCTTTAGCGAGTCATTCAACATGAAATTTGATCGTCTACGAGATTTCCAGGAGAGCCTCGGGCTGTTAGACATCGCCCTTTCGGTTCCACCACAGTACGTTGCCGTAAGAGTAGTTTCCCGGAGTCGCAGTATCGCGGATTTCAGAAACCGGACGTGGAAAACGCCCGGGAGGACGGGTTCCAGCAGACAAATTTGTCAAAAGTTCGTTGTTTCTGTCGAAAAAAGCTCTTTCCCTCTCTCTCTCTCTCTCTCTCTCTCTCTCGCTCTCTCTCCGATCTTTAACCCACTCCCCTGAACCTTCACTCTCTCAGATGGCCGGTCTGATGCGCCCGTTCCCTAACAACACGATGGGCAGCCAAATTCATGAAGACCTCCAGACTGAAGACGTCAATTCCAGACAGTACTGGCAGCATCTGATCCGAAATTGTCTGCTACGATCCAGTGGCCTTCATGAATATCAAAAGTTCAGATAGGATTCCCGACAGCGGGGAGCCCGGCGTCGGCCTAGACCCCTATATGGCTTACAGCTCGGTGATCCCATCGGAAAATTTATTTATGCCGGACAGCGGAGTTAATTGGAGATTCCAGGTTTGTGCGATCACATCTCCGGCTCTGGCGCTCTCTCTCTCTCTCTCTCGTTCTCTTTCCTGGAAATTAAATTACAAAAATGAGAATTCCCAGGTCTTCCCCGAGGCAACGATGATGATGCATCCAATCTATAGAGCGGCCGACAGGTTCACATCGTATGCGACTCGAGAATTACAATCAATTCACACCCTAGCGTTTCAGTGGCAATAACCGCTTCCACCCGATCTCCGGGACAGAACTGCTTGTAATTCTAAACCAGTGCCGAGACATGGAGCTGTACACGAATTGTGAGTACTCACGTTTAAATTTTACGTCTTCTAGGAATAATTATTTTTATGTGGCAGGCTTGACACTTTAGTGCCCCCAAAAAAGAACCCGCTCCAGCGGTCCGCAGTGATGTCCGATTTTTACGATTTAGGTATCTATCGAGAGCTTTCGGCAGATTGAGGAGATATGTTCTTACCGATTTGTGAAATTCCGAAATTTATAACCCGATTTTCATCGTTTTGGGCCTAAATTACGCAATTCTCTACAAAGGCTCAATTTCATCGGCGTCAACCTCATCCAATCCCTGTTTGCCCTTTTAAAAAATTGAAGTTGGGCTGACAGGAAAGATGTAAAAAATTGCAAAATAAGGGGGGTTTTTGTTAAAAAACTTGCATGGGAAAAGCCTTGAAAATTCAGCCAATTTCGTAAAAATGCTAGTAAATGTAATGAAAATTCCAAAATTTCAGAAATAGGGAAGAACAGATCTCCTGAGCTCGTCGAGAGCTTACCATAGATACCTAAATCGTAAAAGTCAGTCATCACTGCGGACCGCTAGAGGGGGATATTTTTTGGGACACCCTGTCCTGGTTTAGCCCGTCTGCAATACCAACTACGCTCACTCCTTCATGATTACGGAATATCCGTTTGCCCAGACAATTCCTCGGAGGTGGTAGCCAATTGTGGGGACAACTGGGCGTGTCTCTACAACTACGTCATGCTCAATTCAAAGAGCATCGGCCAGGCAAGCAAGGAAGCATGGGATTCACACATCGCCCTTCGCCAGCCGGTCGTCAGCCAGTGTATGTCCGAACACCATTACCATGATTTTGCGGTACTCGGTTGTTTACGGGGGGAGGGGGTGGTTAAGGGGGAGAACAATTTTTCTTTGGGTCGGGTACGGGCGATAACGAGATCCCAACAATTCTTTGTATCCTTTCACAAGGTTTTCAAATTTACAAGAACATAGAAATTCTAAATTGCTTTGGGTGCAAATTGCGAAAAACGCTTTTCAGATGACTATTGCCCACCCCCCCCCCCCCCCCCCCCCCCCCCCCGGCCGCAGCCCCCGCCCCCTATAAAAAATAGACATTCTAAAACTTTGTAATTTTTTAACTGCCTTCTAGCTATCAAAAGCTATTCAAAACGCTATGAAAAGGCAAGATATCTTTTTAACAGCTATGAATCGGCGGCAAAACGATAAGTAACATATCCCACCGCAACCAGTCCAGCACCGCCTGCCTCGAAAATAGGCTAGAAAAATGTTTCAGACTGCCCGCGCGGTTGGGTGCACAACAACGATACAGATGCATGCTACTATGCACAGGTAGAAAGATGTGTTCGCTAAATAAAACTATAGTTCTAACCATTGCATTTGTATTATTATACTTTAAAATTGAGAACCAGACCCCAGCGGACCCGGCGGTCAGATATACGCAGGAGCAGGCCGAATCGCTCTGCCAAACCATGGGCGCACATCTCGTCTCGATTCATGACGAGGATGAGGACACCTTCATTCGAGGTATCATTCGATAATATCGATCTGCTAGGTTACTTTCAAAAGGTGCAAATTTCTTGATGTCGTCATTAGAGTGTCAAAATTTTCGTAAACAAATCTAGCGCAAAGACCTCTGCGTAAGGTGCAAAAATGCAATATTCTGAATTTCTGCATTATGAAATTGCGGCGTTAAATATTATCATAGCAATTCCGTTAAATAGGTAAAAGAGATTAAGAGCGGGAGGGAAAGCGAGAGAGAGAGAGAGAGAGAGAGAGAGAGAGAGAGAGAGAGAGAGAGAGAAAGCGGCGAATGATGGAAAGAGAGAATGCGTGAGAGAGTGAGAGCGCGCTGAAGCGGCAACCTTTTTAAGGCATCTGAGCGTTTTTACGAGTTTTCTTCACTTCAGAACTAATTGCGACGAATCAGAATGGCATGATTTGCGATGACTGGCAGGTTATCCTTGGCGCTTCGTGCAGTAATTCGACCACGCTGACATGGACCGATGACAGCTCCTTCAATTTTGATCTAACAAACGGAACGTGCAGCGAAACTTATACGGTATGACAACAGGGCAAGGGGAACAAGTCTCTTTCTGTCACTCTCTCTCTCTCTCACGCTCTCTCTCTCTGCTCTCTCTCTTTCTCTTTCTTTCTCTCTCCCGCTCTCTCGCCCTGCACAAGCTCTACACCATGTTTAAATTCAGATGGGGAACGACACGCAATATGCAGCCGATTTCGAATCCCGATGGAACCCTTGGGACTCAACATCCGCATTCACGCGCTTTGTATGCAAAAAATCTGCTAATTATATTTGATTATGATGCATTGCAATGTGTTAACGACGGATAAATACTCATTTACGTCTCATAAATAATAAAAAACCTTTTGGTTTTTTTTATTCTCAAAAATGGTGCAGCTTGAATTGGCATAAAACAAGTCCTTCATCCTGGATCGCAACTAGGGAAAACTAAACATAATTGATTCCATGGAAGCATGTATTACGGTATTTTTCTCGTGTTGTCTCGCTATCGATAGGATCCAGTTGTATTGATGGCAGCTTCAAAAAAGTGCCAATAGGTCTGCAATTAGTTAAAATTAGCGGAAAGTACGTATTTCGTTCCGTTCTGAATATTTTGTGGTATTCTTTTTTTGCGTGATTCTTGAGTTTATACGTGTCATAAGTCGTAAAATCATTTATGCCATTTTTTTCATAAATACGCCAAAGCAAGGAAATTGGGGCGGATTCAGAAATCGAAAATTCGGATTCCGGGGTTTGTCTTCGCTTTCTCTTGTATTAAAATGATAAAGCTTCAACAAATCGGGATAGAAAAGACAGCAGCAAAGGGGGATAAAAAATTTCGTAAAATTGACGTAAAATTGATGTAAAATTGATCTAATACAATTTCATGAATAGAATATCACAAGTTGCAATGGTAATTGGAGGCGTGGGAGAAAGCTAGAGATTTGGAGAGAACAGCGAGAAAGAGAGAGAGAGAGAGAGAGAGAGAGAGAGAGAGAGAGGGAGAGAGCGAGATGGAAACAGATAAAAAGCTAAAGAAATAAGATAGAAACAATATTTTGGCAGTGCAAGACTTTGGGCTGGGAAATATTTGGATTTTCAAGAAATAAAAAATTAGAGTTGCCATCAAGAGGATATGGATAAATTCTTTTTAAGAAACGAAAAAAGGAAACTTGGCCTAAAATCGAATTTTATTCATCCTCATCTCCGCCGTCACCACCGATGGGGGTATGGGATTCTTCGTGAATTTTGCGAGTTTCCGATCCGTCGGCGTGCTTGATTACGGTAGTTGTGCGTAGCTAAAAAGTCAACGTTTTGCTTAAGAAACTGGCATTTATCAGAATAAAACCAATAAGATTCGTGAAAACTTACCACCGTAACGCCGTCCTCCTCAAAAGTCTCAGTCTGCGTATAGCTCTCATCTCCCTCTTGCGCTTCAATGTTGTGAGCAAATTCTTCAGGGGTCGGGATCTAAAGACAAGTTTTTAAGAGCTACCTCGTTATGAAAAAAATGCGACAAGTCCTATTGCCTAAGGTTAGCATGGGCCTAAGCCTGAGCATAAGCTTGAACCGAAGCCTGAGCATAGTGGAGCCTCAGCCTAACTCCAATATTCACTCTAAAACCCACCTCGCGCTCACTAGAAGTAATCTCCCGTTCTTGCGTCGTCTCTTCTCTTACATGCGTAGTTTCGCTGCCATCGGGATTCCGGGTTACGGTCGTGGTCCGGACCTAAGGGTACCTGTAAACCGGAAGGTTCTGGAAAAACTACCGTAGTCACTCCATCTTCTGTGAACGTTTCAGTGGTGGTCGTGGTGGTGGCTCCCTCATCATCTTCGGTGGTTTCTACCTGAACCATTAATATTTAGCGAAACTCGTGGTTTCTTTCTATATCTATCTGACTCTCTCGCTCCCTCTCTCTCTCTCTCTCTCTCTCTCTCTCGCTATCTCTCGCTATCTCTTATCAAAACCTACAGTTCTCTCGACGTCAACGGGAGGTTCAGGAGATTCACGGTGCGGCAAATCTGGTGGCGTCTCGATAATTGATGGGATTGGGGTTGGCGAGGATTGGCGTACGATAGATGCTCTCTTGACTTCTTCCGCTGGTTCCGGACTCGCCGATACCTCATGCAATACTTGGGGTTCATGGGCCAACGTGGTGGTAGTGGTGGTTTGCTGAAGAAAAAAAACAAGTTAGTTCAAGACCTTGCAAAAACTCGCAGCCCCCTAAGTTTTGTTCCACCTACCGTAGCCGTTCTATTCGAGCCATCAGGCAATTCCGTCCGCACGACCGTCGTTTGGACGACCGTGTTCTCATTGGGGTGGGAGGTCTGAAAAGTGGGTGTTTTCGGAATTGATTGCTTTTTCTACCTCCTGGATTACAGTGGTCGTTGCTCCAGGTTCGGCCTCCATCTCCCGCAGCGTTTCCCGGTGTGTCTCCTCCGGGATTGGCTCCTGGATTCGGACGGTTGGGGTCTGAAAAAGGCTTTGTGGGGGAAAAAGGCTATAGCCTTAACTAGTAGTTTAGTGTGCCAGTTTAAGGTATATATTTCCAAAATCCATCCAAAAGCTATGCATTACTTACCGTGGGCTGTGGCGCTTGGGTATGACCGTTGCTGAACTGTTCGGTGTAGGGGTAGACCGGGGTGTAGGTGAACGGGCCGTTGAAGGAATCTGAAATTGTCGAATTACGGCCAGAATTGAAGCCAGAAGCGAGGCAGTAGACTAAAGGCTGTTTTTTCGTAGGGGATAGAAAAACAATGGCTGCAAAACCCCAAAACCAAACCAAAGAATGGGCTTGTAGTTTATAAAAATACAAAAGATGGAATTATCAGGGACTATTAAGAAAGCAAAGCCAGTTGAAATAAATGTAGTTAATAGATATTTTATGATACTGTTCAAAATTTGCAAGATAGAACAAAATTCATCAATCCCCCGACGTTACCTTATTCTCTTCATCAATCTCCCCGATTGGCTGCGGCCCAGCAATAAATGGTCTCAGGATCGTCGCCTCGTCAGCCGTCTTCAACTCGCCGATCTCGATGGGAATCTCCAGGAAGATGGAGTGGCCAAGAGTCACCTAAATGGTTGATTAAAAACTACGCCAGAAAAGGCTTACCTGAATAGCATATTCAACTCTCAAGAAGGGGATTTTTCGGAATCTCAAGGTTGCGGTGGAGGGGCTTTCGAAGAGTCCTTTTGTCGGGGATTTGTTCATATCTTCGGTAATGTTATCGAAATCCCCTAAAAATCAAAGTAAACTTGATTCTATTAATTCTAAACCCGTACCTTTCGTCGTTGGCGGCACCGGAGGTATCGTGATCAAATATAAATCTCCTTCAAAGCCTTTGGCGCCTTTTGGTACCACTTGCTCTTCCAATTTTCTAAAGGACACCTATTTTTAAAGATTATCACTACAAGATACCTATAATCCAACGTTCTATAAGGAGATGCATGCGGATCGTCACCTCCTACTCGGAGCACCCGATCGACGAGTCGAACTTCCATCTATGATTATATGGTTTAGCGTCAAAAACTGAAGGCAAACTTGTCCCAAAAATTCCTTTGGCTTCTTTGTGTTCAGCTTCAAATGTCCGTAGACAACTTCGCCAGGGAGGTATCCGGTTCGGCTCAGATCGAGGGAGGCGGAGATCTAAAAAATAGATAAACTTAGTTTTTGATTGGCTTTATTTTTTTTGTTTTTAAATAGAGCCACCAACCTTTCCCCTACAGCAGCATCCTCCGTACGTCGCTTGATCAGCAACATGAGCGGCTTGTCCGCGAACGATATGGCCATCCGAAGGCGAGACGATCGTGAAGGCGTTTTTCACAAAGTATTCGCGCTAAAAAAAGTATGTCTAATCCTCTCGGTTTAATTGATCGAGGAAAAAATGAGGCTACTCGTCGGCTAAACTACCATTTGCGCTCCATCCTCCTCCACCAACGACGCCTTGATGAAGTAGCGGATGAAGCCGTGAGGGCCCTCAAAGCTGGTGGGGCATCCTTTAGGCAACGGCATCTCAAACGGAAGGTGGTAGTCGTAGTTGGCGATCCAGGTAAAATGGTGAGGGTCAGCTTTTCCGGGTGGTCGCTCGAGGAGGGCCATGTCGTTGTCGAAGTATACCTTAAAAGGTTGGGTTCGTATTTTTTGCTCTACCTCTCTCGCTTTCTCTCTCTCTCTCTCACTCCTCTCTCTCTCTCACTCTCTCTCTCTCTCTCTCCTTTTTTCTCGTTGTCTCTATCTCTCTCTGTGACGCTCAAGATATCACTCGTTTTGCGAAATTCCCTTGCCTTAACCAATTCCAGGGCCCAGATATTTCGCAACCAGACTAATCCCCTGAATGCGCAGAATATTTCCCAATCCACTTATATTTCACTACTCCCGAAGAGCCAGAAAAATTCTCTTCTCTGACTCACAAACCCGGGACTCCATCACCTCCTCTTTTCCGGTGTTGCGCTAAAACATGCCCCTTTGGGTACGGGCCGTGACTCAGGACGCTATGCATTTGGTGGGGGTAGCCTTTGTAAAGGGCGCCGTATTCAATTTTGCATCCCCGGCCCGGTCCGAACGGTTTGTTGGCTGTTTGCCAAATCGATTTCTAGGGTGGGGGGCTCCGAATTGTCGTCGTACAGATTTTTCGATAGTCCACCGAGGAGTTGATAGGCGGGAGAAAGATGAAGAGAGAGGAGAGAGAGAGAGAGAGAGAGAGGGGGGGGGGGGGGGGGGAGGGGGGGGGGAGAACAGGGCATCTACAGCCTCGAAAAAGTACCTTCTCGATATCGGCCTTCTTCTTGGAATCATTTAAGAAAGCGGCGCGGCCTTTGATCTGGAGCCGGACGGCGAACACCTGAAAAATCGATGTTGGGCAAGAAATCATGCCGCTTTTACGGCTTTTTGATCATTTTCGCGAGGGTTCAAAAGGTACAAAGTTTTAAAAATTTAAAACATACCGTAATCTGCTTCCGCAGCCGTATATGAATTTTTCCCTTGATCACCTCGCCGCCTCGGTAGACGGGCGAGGGCCCGTCGGCCAGCTCGATTTCGAGCACCTCCAACACGCTGTCGGACATCCAGGTACTGCAACAAAAATCGTAATTAAGATGTCACTAGTATAATCCGATAGAAGAACAAAATTTAAAGTATATAAAAGCTTTCAAACACGATTAAAAAGTAGCAATCCAAGAAAAGCCAAGAAATTTCAGGTATTCCGACTAGCTTTAAAATCTATGCATCGACGACTACGGGCAACTACATAAAACGCCGGCTGTGACAACAAAAACGACCCTTGAAACTT